TAAGCCTTATGTCGTATTGTTTTCTATATGGGGAGTGGGGTGGGGTGGGTATGGTAAATTACTAACCGGGAAAATAAATACCCACTCTGACCCAAGACCCCTGTTACGCGCCTGGTGTTAGCGCCAATTTGTGCCCTTGTGCGGACAGGGGATGTGCCCCTCTCTGAAGCTGGAAACCTTGTTTTTGCAAAATAAATTGATGCAATTTGCTATTATAGGCCTTATCAATAAATTCCTCATCAACTGATATAACCTTAAACATTCTTGGAATTGACATAACATTACTGTCGTAGTACACACCCTTCAGTGTGAAATGTGGCTTTCTTTGCAAGCACATCTAACATCTAAGGAAAGAAGAGTTTAGATTGGTACCAGATAAAATAATTTTGTGATCAACATTAATACATTATGCTAATTTTCATAATAATAATAATAGTATGTCGTTCTTATATAGCGCTTCATGCCTTTACAAGGCCTCTAAGCGCTTCACATTACTACCCCGGTCATTGGATCAAACACATATGGAACACATTGAAACACCAAATTAAATTAGTAAATGAAATTATATTATCATTCCATAAATTGTAGCTAGTAATCAGCGCAGGTTGTGTTGGAACCTACCAGGTATCCACTTGTACTCCTGGGTGGAGAGAGGCAACCGTAGATAAAGTGCCTTGCCCAAGGACACAAGCGATTTGCACAGCCAGAGTTTCTTTTGAAGTGTGTAATCCCCCCCCCCCAGGATCATGTACTCTGGTCCCGTCGCATTTGCAAAATAAACCTGACTAATTTCATCTCTGATCTCAGTCAATCGCTTCGCAATATTCTCACATTTCAAAAGAATAATTATGATCTTGTGGATATGGTGAACAAGTTGGGTCTCATTCTGGATAAGCATGCTCCACTCACTAGGATTAATCTTAAAAGTCTTAGAATGTTAATTTTAATTTATTTTCTGCCTGCAATTGCAACTTTCCTTTAATGGATAAGTTTGATCCTACATCTGTTGATGAGGTAATTGGTGTAATTGATATGAATTCACTCAAAACATGCACCCTTGATCCTTTGCCCAGTTCCATACTTAAACCATGTTTGCAACATCTCATTCCATACTTTGTTGCAATAATTAATGACGTATTTGAATGTTTGTTCCCTTCCATTCTCAAAACCGCTGTTGTTGTCTCGATCCTGAAAAAACCCAATCTTGATCATAACATACTGAATAATCATCGACCTGTCTCTATGCTGCCATTTTAATCTAAACTTATTGAAAGAATTATGGTTTGTAGACTAAACGAACATTTCTCTTGTAATAGTCTTCTTCCTCTAATTAATCTGCCTTTGACACTGTTGATCATGTGTAGCCTGGGTTCCAGACCCTAATTTTGGGTTGCTCACTTTTTATTGCACTTAGTGCGCGCCATACCTAATTTAATTGGCGTCCCATACTTGATTTTTTTTTTTTTTTTTTGGATTAGGCGCTGGGCAAACGATTCATGCGTACGATTTCCCACATTAAATTCAATGTGGGATATCATATGCATGACTGATTTTGTAAATCACGTGATTGGCTTACTTCATGCATATTAATTAATCTTGTTAAATTTTCAAAATTGAGGATGCGGATGTCTCGACTAGGACAAGCTAACCAGCTCCCTTCTGCCTACCTACTTGAATTAAAACAGTTTATATATAGTCCTGGCCAGCTGAGAACAACTATGGACTGATAACCGTAGTAGGCTATGCTTACAGAACCTTGCTCACTGCTAGCTGCTACACAGATTTAGGCCTTTAGGGTAGAATATTGTTAAATAGGTAGGCCTCTGTAAGTATGAACTTAAAAACAGGCCAACCCTCTACAGGCTAGGCCTACTACTTCTGACTCCTGAGGCCTGAGCCATCCTCCTGGAAAGTGGTGTTGTATTTGTAATGGTAAGCTTAATTGTTTTTGCCACTGCCAAAATTAATCTTACTATGGTCTATTCTAAATATTTTAGGCCCGTTTTATTAGGGAGGACTATTTTTAGTCATGCCTAACTAGTCGACGGGAGTGACTCAGTTTCGTGGCTCCAAAAATATGAACATTTGATTGGTTGAAATTGTTTATTTCGTCCCGCCCATTTATCCAAATAAGGAATATAAGAATACGTCATTCTTTTGACATCCTGGTGCCTGCATTCAGTGTTTTACAAGTGGCTTATCCCGTCTCTAAATTAACTTTCTCATTGGTGGCGCTGCCCAGAATGAGAAAAATAATAAAAAATAAGAGACTTGTGGCAAGTCTAGATCATGTGATGCTAATGAATACCTTACTTAAAGAATTTGGGGTGTATGGCAAAGCCCATAAACTTCTCACTAATTATCTTAATGTCACTATTTCTCTGTTAAGGTTGGAAATGCATTCTCTGATAAAATTCCCTTAAACATTCCTCAAGGTAGTTTTCTTGGCCCTCTTCTTTTTATTTGTTATACATCCAGTCTTTCTAAGTTGTTACATTCTTTAGGTCTCAATTATCATTTCTTTGCCGATGATATCCAGCTCTGGAAAGAAGTCGATCTTGACAATCTCGCTGACATTGCTTCTACTATTTCCTTATTTGAATCATGTTTCTCATCTATTACAAATTGGTCTTCAATGATGAAACTTAAATTAAACCCTAGTAAAACTGAACTTCTTGTTATTTCTTCCAAATATCTTATTCGCCCTGTTCCTGAAATTAACATAAATTGTAATGGTATTAACATATTTCCATCTTCTTTGGTTCGGAACTTAGGGGTCATATTTGACAAACATCTTGATTTCAGCAACCATATATCATCTGTATGCCGATCGAGTTACGTTCATCTTTGCCGTATCCGTTTTATTAGATCTTACATCTCATCTTCTGCTGCTGCTTCTCTTGTTCATGATTTTATTTCATCCAAACTTGACTTCTGCAATGCATTGCTCAATGGTTCAACTGCTATTAGCATTAGACACCTTCAAAAACTTCAGAACTCTGCTGCTCGTGTTGTAACACTGTCTAAAAGGTTCACCCATATTACGCCAATTTTAAACATTCTTCACTGGCTTCTGGTTGATAAGCGAACCACTTTTAAAATTCTTCTTCTCACCCAAAAAATCTATCCATGGTCGTGCCCCACTATATCTCTGTTCGCTTATTGACAAACATGTTTCTTCCCGTTCTACTCAAACATGTTACTCCACGAGTCAAGCATATTCGTACCGAAAAACGCTCTTTTTCCTTCTCAGCTATTAAACTCTGGAACTCTCTGCCTCCTCAATTACGTATAATCTCTGATCCGGAATTATTCAAATCCACTCTTAAATCTTTCCTCTTCGAATAGTTCTTCGAACTTCTTTCTAACAACTTCCAAAAAGACTGACAAACCGCTAAAAGCTCCAGAATGTTTATGTGACTGGTGGGGTCTTTCAGCGACCAGACCCCTGCGACGCGCTCCATAAGCGAACAATCGCCCCAACCCGCGAGCGAGGCGTTGGCCGAAAAAGAACATTCTCCTGAAGCCAACACTGGAGGTGCGTGGCAACAAATGCATTCATGGAAATCTGAGCAGACAAGTCCTGAGACGCTGGAGAGGAAAAACCCGAGTAGATACAATTGAAGAGGGCGCATGCGAAGCCAGCAATATGGAACTAAGTTTACCAAACTTGCGACAAAACCCAACATCCGCAGCCAGGATTCGGCTGGAGAATAAATATGGAAGGGAAAGAAGCTGTGTGAGTGCTAGGTGACACTTGCGAATCCAATACATGGAGGGGGTACCCCACTGAATGAACAAGACGGATCTGCGCCCCCAGATACAGCGGAATTTAAATGGAAACAAGAAGCGATTTCTCTTGGTTTATAATGAACCCTACGGCTTCCGTCAAGTTTATGACAATGATTAGATGAATCAAAAGAGTTGTTCTGGAATTTGCGACCACGAGCCAGTCATCTAGGTTCATGAAAAATCTTATCCCTCTTGCATGAAATATTGCACTTAGGGATTTTACCACCCTTGTAAACACCAGAGAAGCCATGGATAGTCCGAAGGGAAGAACTTTGAACTGAAACGTACGCCAGCCCAGACGGAAGCGCAACCATTTGCGAAAATAGGCACGTGAAAATAAGCATCCTTGAGTTCTTGGAGGATAAGAGTGAGAGTGTAAATGCAGAATTTTTGCGCTATGATCAAGTGGTTCAGCCGCTGCAGATTTAGAATAGGGTCTCCTGACGATTTTTCCGTCTCTAGCCCAGGCCTCTTCTTTAGCAGCAAACTGGCCAAAGAAGAGATCCTCTGCCCCAAGAGAGGAGCAGTCCAAAAACCGGTCACAATGACCGGAACTGACCGTAGTCGCCTGGAGAAAATTAGCCAATAGAACTGAACTGATCAATGGCATCAGGGCCCCCACATGCTGAGCACAATGACTTGTGCGCGGACATAACCCAAGAAGAGACTACAACTCAAGCTAAATTGAAAGGATGTCATCTAAAAAGACTTCTTGAAAAGAAATCCAAAATTGCAAGTTAAAATAACAATCCGAGAATTCTTCTTGCAAAAGATAACAAAGAACACAATTTGAGACACGTTAGCAATATAGGCTTCTTCAACAAACAACGTCGAATAGGGAATGAGTACGATTGTTAGGGAGACGGTTCATACGTGGTGCCTGGGTTAAACTGTTCTATTTTTATTCGAAAGGGGTGTTTCGTTTTGAGAACAATGGCAATTTGTCGGTTTATCCACGCAAGTATTCACGAAATAGACTTAATTTGACCCAACACTACAAAGAGTACACTACGTCTGAAGATGGTGACGTTTTTACCCATGTTGGTTTTAGCAAAAAAAAAAAGTTTACTATTTTTTAAATAAATGGAAAAAATTATTTACAATTTTATAAAAAATGTTAAAAACCATATTTTAACAATGTTACGACATAACAGTCAAACTATTATATGAGTAAGTGGCAGGTCTGGGAAACAGAATAGACTGATTACCTCAACTGTCTGATGTGGTTGGAAGGTAATCTGACTTGAGCTGGGGACATAATCTTCACCGGGCCTAGCTGATGTAGGCTCTGACATTCGTGTAGCGCACCACACGATGGATATACGAGAAATATCAGAGCCGCGTCGTATTACTTCTAGTTGTACTGTCCCCGAGTTCTCATTGAATACATAGTGATTGGTCCTGAATGCAACTGTGGAAACTGAAATGAAAAACGTAATTATGTTACAAGCAATTTGCCTAACACCAAGTAAGGTCATAATTAGAATAGTTGTGTTGTTCTAGGACACAGGTGGGCAAAATGCGGCCCTACAGTGATTTTTTTGCGGCCCGCGAAAATTAATTAAAAACCCTATGTGTGCGGCCTGCACACATCTGTAAATGTAATATTAAAAGTAGGATTAAAGTGGTGTAAAAGCTTGGACTGGTTTTTGGAAGCACACCGGAAACATCAAAGTTTGGGTGTGGCCCTCGGTGTTCAATAAAAAATTCACTTTGGCCCTCCGACCGATATTTATGGCCACCTCTGTCCTAGCACATCAGACTGAAAATGGCCAACCAGGGTCTACTGGTCAGGAATCCTTTTTTACCGTAGGCCTTATTCTAGATTTCATGGATTACCATCATTAACTGAATTTTGGCTAGTAACCAATGAGCTAAGTTTCATGGTTAATGTTTCAAAATAAATTAATTGAAGATTGCAGTGCCAATGCAATTCTACATTGTATAAGTATTTTAGGTTCCTATTTACCTGCAGTATAAGACCAACAAATTGTTGATGGGTTTGACACTTTAACTTGCATTGAGGAGCCTACAATACTATTTACACGGTAGTTTGTTACACTGTATTCAGGAGAAACTAAATTAGTTGGCCATCTGCTAAAGTAATTCTACACAATTATAAACCTGAAAAATTATACAGAATGCAATTTCCAAATAGTGCTCAAATGTGCCTATAAGATAATGAATGATAGTTTTCTGCACAAGAGGAATTTCACTACAAAAAGATACAAAAGTTTAGAAAGTATATTTACCATCATTAGGGCCTTTGATGACAATTTTTGCTTTTGCTTGTTGTCCTATTTGTGTCATCATAGAGGGCTCAGTCAGAACAAGCTCAAACTCCTCCTCTTCTTCATAAATTGAATCATCTACAATCTATAACAAAATAATAAAATGTTCATAAATGACTTAACTAGTCATATACCACTAAATTAAAAGCATTTAAAGATAACAAATCAAGTTGCTTATATATTATTAAATCAACTGCCTATTCATTATTTTATTTGGCAAAAATTCATTCAACTTAAGACATTCAACATTTATGTTACACATAAAACGACAACTTGATTTATTAGAAATGAAATGTCCAAATGACCCCTCACCTTTACATCACATGATGATCTACTGATGCCTTGTGGGAAGGCAATCTGATCTTGAAGCAGTGTACCTCTTGTGATGTAATCTGAGCCAGATTCTAAGCCAATCAGAGAGCTGCCATGGGCTGACTTGGGCACAGTCAAGCAAACAACACTAACAGTGGCAGAATTGTCACCTACCAACAAAATACAATACGTCTTGATTTATATACTGTAGTGTGTCATACAACCACATTTAAAGTGATTAACAAAAAAGATTAGAAGAGAGAGACACCGCATCACCACATAACCCATGAAGTTGACTGGTAATCTTAGAAATAAAATACACTAATCAGAAGTGGTTTTGGTAGTCTATTAGTGAGATTCTTACCTGGATAAACTGACTGATTGCATTGTTCATTTAAGAACACTTACCTGGATAAACTGACTGATTGCCATTGTTCATTTAAGAACACACCTACAACAAAATAGAATCGACCAGTTGTCCTTGCACATAACTGCGGCTAATCTTCATACTCACTTGTTTTCGTGTATTTAATTTTTTAAATAGGGGCCCTGAATATCAGCTTACCTCAAAAGGTCTTTAAATACGGTTTAACCATTAAAAAAAATTTACAATGCTACTTCTAACAAACCAGATTCCAATGGGGACTGTGGTTCTTATTATTAACATTATTAATAATACTTGTATTTTTAATACATTTCAATTTCTTTAAAGTTTAAATGCTGGTGGAAGGGGTCCAGCTACAATGCCATTCTGCACCCCTAAGAAGTGGTGGAGCAAGCTGGAATTCCCTGGCATCCAACAGCATTACAAGGTCGTCGGCATAAAAAAAAATATTAATAAATTTTTACCACAATTGCGGCTGTTTGCCACACACAAGAGGTTACGCCTTCCCACACAGTGGTGGCGCCTGGTCTAATTTGGGCCAAATATAATATTAACACTCCCAGAGCTCTAATCAGCCCTTTGGTTAAGACTCCCTCCCACCTCGCCTCAGACACATCAGACGCCTCGTCGGAAATGTTTGGAATCACCACAGCTGTTCCGAGAACCAAGACTGCTCAAGGTACTGTAGTCCCAATTGACTTAGCATAAAAACAAACAAACTCGTCAGACAAAAGCCACACTGAGCGAATAAAAATGAATTTTGCAATCGATATTTACAGTTTTAAATTCTCACTTTATTTTTTTTGGCAGTTTTCTTGAGAATTATTTACAAAAGATTTTCAATTTTCATCTACTGTACTGAATAATCGGTGTCGCTATGGCCGGTTGTTATAGAAACTGTGCTTTATTGGAAATGGAAGAAAAAACTTTTCAATAAGTTTCTTTGACTGAAGGGGCAAAAAATCTGCTGAAATCCTGTGCCGATTATATTGCTCAGAAAAAGTTAACTGAAAAACTTACCAAGTTTTTCTTGAAGTTTGTATACAATGATTTAAAAAACAAACCACAACAGAGCCAAGAGTGAGCAAATGCAAGTCAATTGCATTTGATCTTGATTTAGTACTTCAGCACCTTAATGCCTATATAATCATCTATCTAAATATTGTATATCAATAACTCTTTTTTCATTATTTGTACAACAATACTCCTTTGTCAAGTGGAAATATTCAAACAAAATATTTGATTTTCAATGATTTTTGTGGTGGCCATCTTGGATTTCCAAATGCTGCCATCCTAGCTTTTAAAAACCATGTTTATTGAACTCAGAGGGCACAATAACATATGATTAGACACCAAATTTACCTTTTTTGATTGAGGATAATTGGAATTCCATACCAAAATATTTCGATATTCAACAGTTGCTGTGGTGGCCATCTTGAATTTCAAAATGGCTGCCATCCTAGCTTTTAGAAACTATGTTTATTGGAGTAAGATAGCCTAAAAAACATGATTAGACCTAAGTTTGCCATTTTTCATAAAGGAGATGTGGAATTATACTGAATCATTTGATTTTTTGACAATTTTTATGGCAGTCATCTTGAATCTCAAAATGGCTGCCATCCTAGGTTTTAAACATGTCTCATTGAATTCAGTTATCCTAATAACTAGTTAGACACCAGATTTACACTTTTTCATTGAGTAGAATTAAAGTTATGAGCCATTATCTTAATATATTCCGCCCTTTTTGCTCACCCCTGCTCATTTTTTTTATTTATACCCTATGTAATCAGCAGAGAAAGCTTGGTCCCCAAAAAATGGTCACGGAGGCCCTGTTTTTCACTATACTCCATTAAACAAAATAGAAACGTATACGTTGATATATAGACATACAAATATTGATATGTCTGTAAT